GTCCCCTGCTGCAGCCTCCCCAGATCACCTCCCTGCTGCAGCCTCCCCCTCCCAGGTCACCTCCCCGCTGCAGCCTCCCCCTCCCAGGTCACCTCCCCGCTGCAGCCTCACCACCCAGCCATAGCTGCATGAAGAAACATTCAGCTGGGAAGAGAGTGAACCCAGAGTTTAGAAGATCCCAGACCCTTCAGACCTGTTGGTAGACTTCCAGACTCCTAAACACCACCATTATGTGCCGATCCCCACCAGCCTCAGAATTTACCCCCCAAACCTGTTGGTCCTAATTCTGACCAACTAGGTTCTGGGACCTAGTAGCCTGCTGGAGGGAGAGAAAGCACGTCCTGAGACTGAAAAATGAGTCCTCCTGACACTGGCTCCCTGGAGCAGTACATAGGGGGCAGAGCTCCAGGGTTGGATACAGAACTGATTGTCACATGACATAGTAATTCCTGATGGCAATGCTCAGAGAATTCAAAACCCTGGTCAGGCCCTTGCACCCAGAGGTCACAGCAGCCCTACTCATGGATGCTGGAATATTAGTAAGCCATGAAAAGAGAGCAGCGAAGCATCCACAGAGGCCATGCTGCTGAGTGTAGCAACCATCACAGCCATCCCATGTGTGTGTGTGTGAGAGAGAGAGAGAGAGAGAGAGAGAGAGAGAGAGAGAGAGAGACGGGCTCATGAGAAAGTCATGGGGCAGAAAAATCCAGGCAAGGAGCAGATCCGGGCTGCCAGGGGTGGGGAGGGTGCTAAATGCCACTCACTGCCACTCCTCGGGAAAGGGTGTCACCAGCTCCCTCCTGCTGAAAACCTCATCAGAATGCGGTGACTCAGCTACTGTCAAATGTTCACTTCAAGGCACGGTTTTGGGGTCACTGCGGTGGAACCAATCACAGCATCATAAACAGGCACTGGCACCCCACCCAGGGCCTACCCTGGCTGCTTGGACCCACTCTCGTGAGATAAACACCTGTCTCCCTCCGGCTCTGGGAGGCTGGGTGAGGAAAGCCAGGCCAGAGAAAAAAGGACTCTTGTGTTTTTTAAAGGTGACCTGCCTTCCTGCACCCCAAGAAGAGCAAATTAAAGCTGCCAGGAGGCGCCGTGTTCTCGGTGATTATCGGATGGGCAGGGAGGCACGGGGGAGATAAACCTGTGCTGTGGGGTGTGGCCGTGTCCCCAGGCACAGGTGCTGATGGTGACCTGCCACGTAGCGCCGCAGACCAGCCGCCGATGTGCAAGCACCGGTAAGAAAGGCAGACTAAGCCTGGGGGCGTCTGCTGGGCCCCAACTTCTATAGCCTGAGGGGGTGATACAAATGGGACTTTTGAGGCCTGAGTAACTGTCCGTACCATATAGCAGGGCGATGCAGACAGCTTCTCAGCAGAGCAAACTGGGAAGGCCAGGGAACCTGAGGGTTCAAGCCACAGCCTTTCTTTTTCCTGTCTATTTCACTAGGCAGGGTCTCCACCGCATAGCCACACCCCCAGCCCCACAATGGGGGATTCTAGGCAGGGCACCACCTCTGAGCCACCCAGAGCCCCCAGCTTCTAGATTCTGGATCTGCAGTCCAGGCTTGGTCAGAGATCTTCAGAGCCACAAGGTTGAATCAGAAGTCCTCACGGGTCCTTTGAGACTCATGATCCACCTCTTCCCCACCCCAGGATGATCAGGTCACCCCTGAGTAGGATCCCTTTTCTTGTGCATATGTGAACTGCTTCCTCACAGACCCTGACCAGTCAGGCGCAGATAAACCTGAAGCTGGAGTCAGATAATCATTCTGGCTCCCATGGCTTCCAAGAACTGTTTTGTTTGTTACAACTAATTCTTTTACTCCTGTATCCATGTTTATATCCATATGAGTGCCTTGGAGCCCAGCAGAGGACGCAGGATCTCTTGGCACTGAGCATGCTGGGAACAGTCCTGGCTTTTCGCCACTGAGCCTGCTGTCCAGCCCCAGCTACCAGGAAGTTTACACTGCTTCCCACCCTGTGTCAGTGTTGTTTGACAGCTTCCTCACCAAGCCCATGGCTGACTAGGTTAGGGTTCTGTCGTAGGACCCTCTAGGGCAGCAGTTATCAACTTGTGGGTGGAGACCCCTTTCGGGGGCACATATCAGGTATCTTGCAGATCAGATGTTTATATTATGATTTGTAACAGTAGAAAACTTACAGTTATAAAATAGCAACAAAATAATTTTATAGTTTGGGGTCACCACCACTCTAGGACCTGTGCTAAAGGATTCCAGCACTAGGAAGGTGAGGTTCATTACTCCTCCCTGTAGCCCAGCTGTGAGAGACAGGGACCAGGCAGGCACACAGACCTAAGATACAGTGCATTGTGGGTAGGTACCAGCACTCCCTTTCTCCCGTCCCTTCCTTCCTGGTCTGGCTTTGGAAAACAGAACCGAGAGAGGATTTTTGCTAGAAAACTTTATTTAAAGAATACTAAAAGGCCAGGGCCTGCTTGAGGACGGAGCAGTTGGCTCAGCCAGGCTAGGATGGAGACGCCTGTCCAGAGTCCTGCCCAGGGGAGCCTCGGCAAGAGGGTGAGCACCTCAGCAGCTGGCGAGGTACATCCCTGCTGGGACAGAGCAGTGGCCTCACGTGGGCTCCCCTTCAGGGATCTCCCCCCCAGCACACCCCCTCCACCGGCAACTACCTGTAGCGAATCTCCGCTTTACCAGGGACATGCGGTAGCCGCCACCCAGCAGCTCCAGGTCCAGGCCGGACAGCGTGGCGCCCTCGCTGGTGAACTGAGCGGCCACCGGGCTTGGGGTACTGGGTCCCGACTGAGGCTGCCAGCTGGCAGACAGGTGGCCTGAGCCTACGGGGGCCGGGGGGGGGGCGGTGCTGTCAACCTCAGCTAAATCAGACCTTGCAAGCCCACACGAACCCCTCAACCCAGGCTCCAGGGCTCAGGGAAGCCCTCCCGCCACAGGTCCTTTGCACAGGCCAGTCCCCTGACATTTGTGCTCTGGGATCCTTCAGGTCCCACGAGCACAAGAGCACCCCCAGTTTAACAAGTGCTTCCCACCAGCGATTTCTCCCATGCAGCAGCTCCCATCAGACATGACTCACCCCCTGCCTCACACACATCTGGAAGCTTCCATGTGAACCTCTTTTCCTCTGTGTTCCTGGTAGCAAGGGAAGCTGGGTCAGGCTTTCCATAGAGTTACCAGTATGGCCCATGCAAACCCACCGCCCAGCCGAACCTCAGTTTCACCACCCATATAGGCGTGGGGCGTGACACGACTGTCTGCTGGCCCCTGAGCAGCAGCAGGGCGGGGTGGCTTACCAAGTAGCAGCAGGCTGCAGGCGCACACTGGTCACTGGCTCCCCCACGGGCAGCAGGATCTGGACGTTAGTGAGCGGTGTGGACACGGCGGTGGCGCCTGCACGGTAGCTGTACTCCACCGAGACCCTCGTGAGCGTGGGCCCGCACTGCCAGTGGGCGCTCATTTGCAGGGGCACTGACTCGGGTCCAGGGCGGGAGAACTTGGGAATGAAAGGACGGGTGGCAACACCGCCATGTCCTGCATTGTGGAGTACGCAACCGCACTCCACCTCCCTCGCGCGCTCCCCAGCCGGGTCCTCGGACCATACGCAGTACCCCACGTGGCCACCAGAGGGCAAGAGAGCGCGGACCAGCCACGGCGCTGGTCTGCCCCCATTTCATGATTGCCCGGCTCTGCCCTCGCCCCACCTGGTACCGCAGCAGCATTAGGTTGTAGTAGGAGGCGGTGGGGTTCTGCTCCGCCTGGTGCTGCAGGGCCTCCGTCAGCGCAGCCATGTTCAGCCAGAAGTCTTTGGTCTCTGGGTCACTCTGGGAGGGGTCACTGCAGAGATAGGACATCCTCACCTCAATGCCCTCCCACTTTAGCCAATCGGTAGGAGAGGTAGTTCCAGAGAGGGAGTGCCACCTGCCCCGTGCCACACAGCAACTATCAGGAGGCGCTGCAGGCGCTTAAGACCCTGGGCCCCTGGCTCCACGGCCATCTGTGACCTTCTCGGCCACCCATGCAAGGCACCTGAAGATCAGGTCAGCGTTGGGCTGGAAGTGTTCCACAGGGGCCGTGTGCACCAGCCGGAAGCTGAGGACGGGCGGGGGCGGGGTCCCACTGAACACACGCACGATTCCCGCAGGAAAGGTCATGGTCAACTCCCCGGTGACTCGAGCCAGGCAACTGGGGAGCCAGGGACAGACTGAGTGTGGTATCTGTGCTCCGCCTGGCCATGTCCCACCTGCAACCCCGAAGCTCTCAAGACGTTCTCATTGTTCCCTCTCCCCAGCTTCTTTTTCTTCCTCTCCTACCGGACGGACGAATCTCCCAGCCCTCAAGCCCACCCCAGAGCTTGGGCTTAAGAACTAAGGAAAGTGTCTTCCCCGATCCCTTTTCTCCTGGGCAACCAGAATCTCAAAACAGAATGAACTGCTGTTTTGAACACCACTGGCATGGGTTTAGGGTCCTCTTCTTTGGGGCTTAACATTATGATCTCATCTTTTGGATGTCAACCCCAGGGATTGTTCACCCCTGGCCTGTCTCCACCCCACATCCCTTTGACTCAATGCCCATGGCTGCAGACCAGCCTCAGGACTCCCCAGTCTCTCACTCAACTGCCCTCTGGTTGACCCTGCATTTGGCATTGCTGTCCCCTGTGACTGCCTACCTGGGGCTGTGGCCTCGGAAATAGGCATGGACATACTCAGTGAAGGCCGTGGCCACCGGCAGGGTGTCCTGAGAGCCTAGAACCACAGGGCTGGGGCCTCGGGAGATGCCTGTGGGGACACGGGATCAGAAGCAGGGTAGGCCTCACCCACTTATCCCCCAGCCCAGACAGAGAAGGGGACCCATCCCCAAGGTTCTCCACAGACCATGTCCCATCTGGGTGGAGAAGCTGGGCCGATCCGGGGTGATGCCGGGGGCAGAAGATCCCAGCGGGGAGGGGCTGAGTGACCGGCACTGCAAGGTACAAGAGAATTGGGGCTGAGAGCTGCCCAGAGCTACTGGCAGAGGCCACCGCTTCCTCACACTGCCTCACCAGCATGTCACCCACCAAGTCGCCATTGCTCCTGGTGAGTGGACAGGACACCTTCCTTGACCGAGGCCTCCTTGGTGGCGCAGCCAGGCCTTCCCTGGTGGGGTCAGCGGTTGACGTGGGGTCTAGAGTCAGGACAACACTGGGCTGAGCCTCGACAGGGTTGAGGGCTAACGCCCTCAGGGAGAGACAGGGTTCTGGGACTGCCCCACACAGGCTGCTGGCTGAGGACTGACAGGCTGAGGAGGGTAAGCCGCAGATTTGGTGATGGCACACTCAGAACACCTGAGCCCCTGTCACTCTGATGTCCTGCCCCCTCAGCACTTTCCCAGGCATGCCAGCCAGCTGCCTAGGCTGGATTCTGCTCCAAGGACATCTCCATTCAGTGGTGGCCACAGGGTTCAGCTAGCCTCCTTCAACACAGCCGTCTCTGGCCTATCATCCTTGCAGCACTCCTGCATCGCAAGCCCAACCTCACGGCCAGGGCGACTTCAGCACCATACTGCAACGAACTCGACACCTGCCCTCCTGCCCATCAGAAGGCCCCGCCTAGGAAAGCCTGCACCTAGCCTTCCCTGGGGACCCCTGCCCTGCCCGGAGATGCCTGCTGGGTTTCAGCTCACCTGTACCTCCCTCTGGCCCCCACGGACCTGGGGAAGGCGCACGGGGCATTGGTCCCCTGGCTTCGGAATGCTGTGCCCTGCAGGTGGGTGGACTCTGTGGGGTGCTCGGCCGGGGGACCCAGGACTCAGGGGATGGGCCAGGGGCAGCGTGTGACGGAGAGTCCAGGCCTGAGTCCTCCACGTTCTCAGGGGAAGAGGATGAGAAAGGAGAAGGGCTGGATGTGAAGCCCAGGCTGCTGGAGCCTAGGAGGGAGGGGGCGGTCAGGGGCGTGGTCACCGCGGTCCACGCCAGCGGACCCTCTTCTCGGGCTCCAGCCTGGGTTGGAGCCCCGCTGCTCCCCACACACCCGGCCCGGCCTTCTGCAGTGCACCCCCTCTACCCGTGAAGTCCTCGTGGTCGAAGGCAGACTCCAGTGGCGGCCCAAAGAGGCTCTTGGACAGTGGTTCCTCAGAGGCCAATGGCTTCTCCACAGAGCTGGGGACAGTGACAGGGGAGGTCGGAACCACCAACCACCGGCGCAGCTCTGTGGCCTTTCTGGGCCCCGCCCCTGTGTCCCCTTTCCCTTGGAAGACCATGCTTTCTGAAATTTTGAGCCTTGTCTACAGGCCTCCCCTCCCAGACACAGCACAGGTCCAAGAGTGGGACCTTAGGCAGGGTAGATGGAAGCTGAAGGTAGGGACATGTCCCCGAGAGACCCACCTGCCCGTGCGTGGGGCCGACCGAGGTCTCTGCGGCTTCCCAGAAGCATCCCCTAGGACAGACAGAGCCTTGAGTTTCTGTCCCAGAGGCCCAAGGTGACCAGCACAGTGGGCAAAGGGATTGAGCCGACGGGAGCCCGTGCATCTGTGTGAGGAAGTGACCCACCCTGGCCCAGGCTTGCCCAAAATCCTGCCCCTGCTAGTGCAGAAGTCCCGCTCTATCTGGCTCTAGGCCTGGCTCTGCTGCCCTTCGAGCTTTGAATGTCAGAGCAGCTCAGCAGCCTGTCTGCAGCCAGCTCTCATTCTCAGCTGTCCAAGCCATCATTCGCAAGTCCCCTCCCAGGGCCTCCTAAACCCGCAGCCAGCTACTCACGTGAGGAGTGACGTTTCATGGTGCCCTGCGCAAAAAGCGAAACATCAAGCAAGGTCAGGCTCAGCAGCAGCCAGCTGGCCCCAGACCCCTATGGTCCCTGGCTCACCCCTGGGCCTGGAGGGAGGATGAGGCTGCCAGCTGTGGCCCTGAGCTGGGCAGCTGCAGCCTCGGAGCTGCAGGCCACAGCACGCATGGGGGCGGGCTTGATGTGCACGTAGAACTTTCTGGGCTCCTCATCGTCAAAATCTGAGTCACTAGAGGAGAACCGCGGGGGCGCGGCCGCACATGGGCCACTGTCAAGGAGCCAACCTTGAATGTGACCACACTCCTCCCGTGCAGTAGTTCTGTCCCCTTCTGCTCAGGACACTATCCCAGGAACTCCCATTCAGCCACTAGACCCCAACACTGGCACCCTTCTTCCAGGCAGCCCCCAGGATAGCCACCGTAAAAGTCCACCTGTTGTGTCAGTCTGTCTGTGTTTGAGAGAGGATCTCTCTTCACAGCCCTGGCTGGCCTGGAACTCCCAGGCTGGGCTCACACAGACCCGCCTGCCTCTGCTCCCGCAGGCAGCCACCTCTCAGCCCTGCTCATCTTTCCCATCATGTAGCACAGGAGCCACCCCTGCCCTCTCGGGGACACAGTCACCTAAAGGATATTGTTCTGAGACACATCGGGGCGCACACTGAAGCCTTCGTCATCCACCTCGGGAGGAACCTGGGGGGAGGGGTCAGGACCAAGAATATAGTACAGGGTGTAGTCAAATCCAAGGGGGAAACTGAGGCACAGCAGAGCTCTCAGTCCCTCACATGGGGACCACAGAGGTGAGACTTGATTCTGAGCCCCACTCTGGGCCCCTCTTTTCAGGACTTGAAGATCAACCCCAGCCCACCTGCTGACCATCCCCCATGGTACTCACCCCCAAATCAGACTCCAGGAAGTCACTGGGGACAAAGGAACAGGGATGAGTAGTCAGAGCCCCCAAAGGGGGAGCCCACCATATTGCCCCAAGCTGGGCCATAGGTTGGAGCTCTGGGGCTTCACTGAGACTGTTGGGAGTGTATCTAGAGGGAGCTGAGTCATAGATATCCTCAAACAGTAGAGCACTTGAAGAACTAGCCTTGGCAAAGGAAGGGATCATAGCCAGCCTAGGCTACGATGTGCCAAGCAGCTTCTGGTCCTGCCTGGGTAAAAAAAGGAGTTCCAAACTTGGGGAGTGGCACTATTGGACTAGCCTGGGTGGTTTTTCTGGGATAGTCCAGCCAAAGGCAATCCTGGGATAGCCTGAGATTGGGAGAGTGTCATGTAGGGGACTTCTGTGCTAGCAGGGGCATGATTTTGGGCTAGCCTGCGCCAAGACAGAGTACTTCCTCACACAGATGCACGGGGCTCCCTCCGGCTCAGTCCTGGAAGGCGGAAGGCCTTGGCTCCTCGGAGACGTTTCATTGCTATTGACAGAGGTGGACAGCTGAGCTCTGGAAGGTTCTCTCCATCTCTATTTAGATCCCCCTCCCACACTACCAGGTCTAGCCTGGGCATCCAGGCCCAGACGTACTTGCCTTCCTGCAGGGCCGCTGAGCTGTATGCTTCGAAGTCCAGAGGCCCTGGGGCAAAAGACGATGGGGAAGTCTGAGGGCAGAACCAGGCCTGCCAGGATGGAGGGTGTGAGAGGGGGACCTAGGTGCGGCAGACAATATGAAGACAGCAAGGGAAGCAGAGCTCTCCTGGTCACCTGGACCTGGGGACACAGTGTGTCAGAATGTGGGGGATAGTGATATTTAGGGGATTGAAGAGGCAGGCTCAGAGAAGTTAAGAAATATGACTAAGGTCACACAGCAAGGCATGAAAAAAAGATGGAAGCCAAGCCTGACTATGAAACTCGGGCACTCAACAGACAGCTTGTGCTCAGCAACTACAATGGCTCCCTTCTGCTTTGGAGAAACAGCCAGCCTCTGAGCTGACCTTTCATAACCTCTTTGGAGTGATAATAGGTGAGATCAGTTATCAGATGCCTTCTGGGGGATGCGGAACTGCCGTCATTTTTTTGAAAGAAGAAAGAGAGGGTCAAGGAGACCTGGCTGCCACTCACCCGGTTTCTCCCGCCCAGTGCCCTTGCTCTCTGCAAACTTCCTGAGCAGCATGTCCACAGTCACATTTTCCACATTCTGCTTAAATTCCTCATGCACCTGGGTGAGTGGAGGCATGAGAAGTAGGGCGGGGCCTTGGTGGGCAGGGCAAGAGGAGGGGAGGGAGTGGCGCATTCTCACCTGCCCAATCTGCACGTGGGTGTCCTCCACGGAGTGCGCATAGGAGCCCAGCAAGGCCTTCATGTGCTGCAGGTGTGCCTCCTCCATGGCCTGAAAGCGCTGGTTGGGGAAGGGCATGAGACCCAGGCTGACCAATCAGGTCAGCCCAGCTCCTGTCCACTCTGCGTGGCTTAAGGAGGCACCAATGAGATTCTGACTTAGGATTTTTGGTGCGAGTTAAAAGGATACCACTACTCCCCCACCTGCTGTGTGCTGGCCTTTGACCCCAGACAGAGGCATCTCTGAGAAACTAGCCTGGTGTACATTGTGAGACCTGTCTCAAGAAGAGGGGCCTTGGGACTGGAGAGATGGCTCAGAGGTTAAGAGTACTGGCTGCTCTTCCAGAGGTCCTGAGTTCAGTTCCCAGCAGCCAAAGGGTGGCTACCAACCATCTATAATGGTGCCCTCTTCTGGCGTGCAGGTGTACATGTAGGCAGAGCACTTTATGTAATAAATAACTAAATCTTTAGGAAAAGAAAAGTGGCCTTGCTGGATTAGAGATATACCCTTTGCAATCACAGATCTCGTGTCAGCCTAGGAGTTCCTAGAAACCCGAGAGCAGCAGCAGAGAAGACTCCTAAGCACACCATTGGAATGCCTGGGTCCAGGCTGACACGGCCGCGCCCACTGGCCAGTGGTGGCTTCACTCAGCAAACCCACATACAAACTGGTTCAAATGACAATTTCTGCTTTTTTCTCAGAATGCCCACACACACACACACACACACACACACGGCGTGCCAGAGCCACTGGGCCGTGAGATCCACAGGGCCGGGTTCTCACCAGCGCAGAGTCAAGCATCTTGATCTCGAAGTCTGCGCGGGCTGAGTTGTACTTATCCACGGAGCGCCTAAGGCTGTCGGCAGCCTTCTTGCTTTTCGTTTCCGCCTGGGAACCATAGACAGGGGACGGTCAGGCGGCTTTACCGCCTAACAAGCCATCTTCTGAAAGCCGGGGTGGGGTGCCCACACAGCTTAGTGCCCAGCACTGTGTGGCATGCTGTCTCTTTCTGGTCACGATGCCAACAAACCTTGTCCATCTCCTTTTGGCTGGTGTTCTCCCTGCGCAGCCGCTCCAGGTCCATGCAGCGGCTCAAGTAATTCTCGCGAGACTTTGGCAGGAGCTGACCCACGCCTGCCAACACCTGCACTGCATCCACAGTGCCCAGAACCTCCTCCTTACACTGCGGGGGGCGGGGGGTGGGGAGCAGGAAAGGGGAGGCTCAGGAGATCCCCACCCCCACCCCGTGAGCCTCTCATGCTCTTCCGGGCTCATGTCCACACTCTGAGCCGCAGGCATGTCCTGGGAGCCCCCGTGCCCCTGCATGCCTGCTGAAGCAGCCCGCTACCTTCTTGTGGGCCTTGAGCTGCTCCTCGCCATAGCGGAGCACATCCTTGAGGAGGTCGTGCAGCTTCCGAGTCAGCTCCAGGTGGCACAGGGCCAGCTTGTCCGAGGACACACGGAAGACCTCCCAGAGTGGGGCAAAGGTCCTAAGGACAGGCAGAGCCCAACACGGCTGGCACACCCAGGGCCGTCACGCAGCACAGCTGTCATTGCTGATATGGAACTCGGCAGTTGTGTCCACCTGGTCACCCCCCAACACACACACCGCGTGCACCTGCACTCACCCCATAGGCGTCCCGTTGCTGGCCAGCTTGGACAGTTTGGCCATGGCCTTCGAGTATGTCTCTTCAATGCTGGCCCTGGGTCCGAGAAGGGGCAAAGATAGGCAGATTATGATACCCTGGGAAAAGCCTCCCCCCCACCCCCAGTTTCCCCATCTCTACACCTCTCAAAAAAAGTTTTGGAAGCTGATTGGATAATTGTTTTCCTGTGGTTAATCTAAGTAATATTTTTATTTAGTTAGTTGTTTGACACAGGGTCTGGCTATGTGACCTTAGTGGCTCTCAAACCCATGGTAATTCTCTGGCCTCAACTCTCCCCAGTGCTGGAGTTATGGGAGTGCACCATCATGCCTACAGCACACGTTTTCACTCTGACGCCAGCGCCCGGGATCGTCGCTCCTGTGTGCGAGTGTGCCGTCTTATTTTCAGTAGAAGCATCAGACCCTGAGTCATGGTTTAAGAGATGCGTGTAGGCCAGTGAGACAGCCCGGTGGGAAAAGACACTTGCAGCCCAAGACCCTAGTTCAATACCCAGAATCCACATGGTGGAAGGGGACCAACTCCTGAGCTGCCCTTCATGTGTACATCATGGCATGAGCATCGCCCCTCCACACAGATAAGTTCAAAGCAGAAAACAAAATAAAAACAAACAAAAAGGTGGCTTGAGGCAGAAATGGACCAGTGGGATTGGAGGACTTGCATCTGATTCCCGGAACCCCAGGAGCTCCACCCCCTTGATCCTTCCAGGAGTCCCAGGGAAGATGCTTTGTGGGAGAGCTCTGGTGGACACATCCCTGGTTGGGAGTGTCCATGTGTGGGCATGTCCACCAGTGGGTGTATCCCGGGTGAGGGGTGGTCCCGGGTGAGTCTCTGAGTGGGTGTGCCCTGGCCCTCACCTTTCTCTAATGAAGTCAGCCAGCTCCTTGGTGGCCACAGGACCCTGCTTCACACAATGGTAGAGGACCTCAAATCCATGGTTTTTGTCCCCCTGTAAGGGATGAGAGAGTAGATGTAGAAGACAGAGAAGGGCATCCAGGTTACCTAGCAACAGAGACAGGCCTTGGTGACCAAGAAGCCAAATGACTGCAGAGATGGGTGAGGCCTAACCAGATCAGCTGCATTTTCCCACTGGCCAGAGAGTGGCTTCCGCAGAGAGAAGCCTGGGACTCTCGCTGCATTCCTGAGGCCATCGCCTCCTGGGTCTCTCTATGTGGCCAGAGGTTGACTTCACGTCTTTCTCCTCTATCCTCCTCCTCGTTTTCTGAGTCAGAGTCTTTTACTGAACCTGAGACTCATGACTAACGCCACAGAGACCCTCCCCTCCTTGGTGCTGGGGTGTTATGGACATGTCCTGCACGCCAGCGTTTTACATGGCTTCTGGGGTCTTAGACTCAAATCCTGATGCTTGCAATGACAAGAACTTTACTACCAAAGCCAAGAGTGGGACACACCCAGGTCAGCCTTATACCCACGTGTCCCAGGCTCAGTGCGTCATGCCTCACCCATCATTATCAGTGGTTCTTTGCTGCCAGACAGCTGCTGATACCCTCAAAATCCTTAGTGTATCCCTGCTCCTCACCTCATGGCTTAGCTTCCTCCTGGCCCGGCCAGCTACCCTCCAGACCATTCCACAGTTCCACAGCGACTCAGAGCACCAGCCTCCCATGGAGGTCACGGTCTGTCCCTCCACCCGGTATTTCCTCTCTTCCAACTCTGTGCTCTGGGCCACTTGGGGCACTGGCTGCCCTTCTCTGAGCCCTGGTTCTCTTATGTGAAAAAATGGCAGCGATGGTATGCCACACAATGGCTTTATGGATGAGATATGTCTGGCAACAAACGCCTTCTGGGTAATAATGAGTGCTCCACACACAGCTCCCACTGAGCCGCCTGCTGCTGCTGGGGAATCCTCGGGTGAGGCTGCACCAGGCACTGCCGCCTAGGCCATTATCTCAGGCCAACACAGAGCCAACACTGGTCCATTTCCCAGAGCTGGCAAGCCCTCAGCACTGTCTGCCTCAGTCTAAGTGGGCAGCAGGGAGGGTCTGAGGAGGGACGTCCAGAGCCTATGTCACTGATCAGAACCCCTGGGTGACAGCCAAAGGACGTTCTAACACAGTTTGACACCCTCTACTGCACACACATCTGCCACGGCTCCCCGGGCTTCTGACCTTGACTTACCTCAAAGGAACAGGAGCACCCTAATACTGGTCAGCATTGGGCTCCTGGTGAGGGGTTGGGCCATGGTTCAGTAGTGGAGCCCCTGCCTAGAATTCCCCAGTGAGGGGCTGGGGCGTGACTCAGGGGTGGAACCCTTGCCTATTACCTGAGAGGCCATGGGCTCTGTTTTCAGCAGGGCAAAAACAGAAAAGGAGCCCAATATATCAACCACAGACCCATGATCCAGAATATACAACTCTCTTTCATGTCCTATTCTACCTTGGGAAACTGAGGCTGGTTGGCCAGCCCCTTTCTGGGGAGAACCTCTGAGCCAGTGGGATCCTGAACAAAAGGGTCTGAACACCTCTCAGCCATGCTATCTTGGGGTGTGCATGGGAGGAAAGTTGGGGTGGCTTCTATTTTCTCTTCACTCATTGACTTCTCCTTCCCCCATTTTCACACCTCTATGGAATATAAAACACTGACAATCTACATAGGAGCTGCCACCACCGCTCTGAAATGTGGAGTCATTTGGGCTGCTGTTGCAGGACAGGGGTTCAATAGCCCAGAGGACACCTCCAGGGGTTCCACAGACATTCAGTGACCTTAGGGAGAAGACTGAGGCCTGCAGGTGGCAAGGGATGGTGGGGCCCTTTAAGAAAGCAGAGGCAAATAAGAGGAGCCCAGCTGGGAAAGGAGTGGGGCTTGTTGCTAGGGGCAACCAGTTGCTTAGCAACCAGCTACCACTTTGCAAGCTGTGGGCCAACTAGAGAGGAAGGGGCCTTTCAGCCTGGTGTCTTCCTGATTGTAGGCGTCCATCCCCCAGGAGGAGCACCAGGCTGCTCCTGCGTCCTCAGTGGTTCCAGTTCCCTGGCCCAACCAACCGAGGAGGAGACCTTGGTCCTTGACTGCCACCCAGCGTCACAGCTCTGAGATAGACTCAGGATGTTTGCTGCAATTGTGATTGCTTTTGCATAGCCTGGAAAAGCAGCCTTCAAGGCCTCAGCAAACTGGGCTGTGAGGAGCCCTGAGGTGGGCTGAGCCTCAGGATCTGCTTGGCTCTGTGTACCCAAGAATGGAAGCTTCTCTCTCAGGGCTCAGCTGTGGCTTATGAGAGTCTCTTATCCCAAGACCTGGTTTGCAGCAGACCTAAATGGCCAACGGTGCAGAAGTCAGGAGTAGGTCACCCCCCAAAACCAAACAAAAACAAACTCCCTAAGATGGAAAAACAAAACAAAACAAGAAACACCACCACCACCACAGAATTTCCCTGGCTGGCCTGGCCCAGTGCGAGGCCATGTTATTCTGACATGTTATTTGTGGAGACAGGTTATAGGCGAAGCTTGCTTGGGACTGCCATTCTCCTGCCTCAGCCTCCCTGGGTCCCAGCTCTGTACTGTGCGGCCCTCGGAACACATGTACAGCTCCAGGGCAGATTCTCGGTGCTATAATCTGTTTCTTGCCCCGTCAAAACAGCCCATGTCTCCATGATTTAAATTGTACTTCCTTTCTGCCCAGTCCCCCCTTGACCATAAAAGTCTCTATAGCTCTTTATGAGCCTTCACCAAAATAAGAGCTATGAAGAACAAAATGAAAAGGAAACAGAAAATACAGGTCTTACCCAAAAATGTTCCCCAAAATATGACATCCTGTTGGCTTCTGTGGAGACCCCTGGTGGCCTCTGTCCTGTGTCAGTCTGAAGAGAGAGATAGGTTTGAGGACCTGAGTCAGAACCAACAAGGGCTTGAACAGGGAAATTCCAACCACCTTCTCTTGGGTCGAGATGCAGGAAGGACTAAGGAAATGAAGGCCCAAGGCCAGGAACAAGTCAGGTCCCCTGAGATGTCTCAGCCTTAATCCCGTAGCCCTAGGCAACAGGGCACATATTCCCCAGTCTTACAGGCCTTGGCATGGGCTAGGGGTCAGGAGCTGGGTGCAGAGGGCCATGGCAACTAGGGTGTTTAAGCATGGATATGAGTTTGTGGGGAAAGGTCAGAGTGGTAATTGGATGAACTGAGTTCTAGACAGAATGCTTCTAGGCCATTTCAGATATAGGGGAACGGAGTCACTTTGCAAGAGGGGAAGCTATCTGCCAAGGTCAAATGGCGGGAAGGGACAGTGAATTTCATGTCTTGAACTACAGAGTAGTTTCTGTGGGGAAAGTCTGGGTATGATGAGCCTGAGAGGTCAGAACCCCAGGCAGGTCCCCGAGATGCCATGGCCAGTCCCCCACCACCAGCAGGGGCCCATGAACACCAGCCACCCCTCAGAAGCTACTGTTCACCTTGCTCTAAGTCATTCAGCTCTGTGCCTCAGTTTCTCCATCTGTAAGAGACAGAAAACCTAGAAGAGGTTTAGCCGGAGACTAAACCTTTGCATAGGGGCTGGGCTGGTGGCACAGAGGGGTGGCACCAGGGCTGTCACAGGAGCCTGTGTCCTCATCCATACTTCATGAGCTGCTGGGCTGCACAGTGACAGTTGGAGCCCAGGAGGCCCAGCGAGACGGGATGGGACAGCTGACCACAGGGCCGGACCATCCGGGCCTCACTGGGAGACCCACTTAGCCCTCAGCCTCAGTTTACCCACCATAGAAACTAGCTGCTCCTTGTTTTTGCTCTGCAGCCAAACCTGGCCTGGACTCTGCATCCTCCTACCTCAGGCCCTCGGGGACTTGAGCTGCAAGTCACTGCGCCTGGTGGGAGCCGATGGGGGGAGGGGCTGGGCACAGGTTCCCCTGGCCAGACATGGAAAGGCAGCGTGTCCCAGATAAAAGGAGGACGCTGGGCATGCCAGGTCCCGAGGAAGGGTCTGGCAGCTGAGGGGTCTCAAATGTGCACCCTCCAGCCTGGAGCTGGGCAGTGCTTCCCTCGTGGTGAGACGGGCTGACCTCCAGGGAGGAAAGCCCCAAATGCCCATGTTGTGAGGTTTTTTGTTTGTTTGATTTTTAAAGCAGGGTATTACTCTATCCCAGGTTGCCTTCTAACTCAGGGCCATCCCCCTGCCTCAGTCTCCCAAGGACTGGGGTGACAGGCAGGAGCACTACCTCCCTCCCTCCCCCCAACCCTGTATCCTGGTGCATGGCTGGAGCCAGGTAGCTTATCTGAGCCCTAAAGTGTGCTGAAGGACAGAGACCTGACCACACCCCTGTGGCAACTTCATCCATCTTCCCTGTGGGTCAGGCCCTCACACACACATCCTTGGGGGCCATGACCACAAAAGCCATCTGCATCAGGCCAGATAAACTTCTACCAGGATCAAGAGGCTCTTGGGCAATGGGTGTTGGCGTCCCGGAAGCCATCAATGTCACCAGAGCTCATGTTATACAGCCACAGCCACCACATACAGGCTGTGCTAAAGGGTCATACTCCGTGCTGTCCCCGCCCCAGCCAGGCCAGACACCAGCTCTCAGGGCCATGCCCACCCAGCTGCCCTTGACAGGCCACAGCCCACACCGGGCAAGGGCCGACTTGGTGGTGGCAGGAGGTGGCACCAAGGATAGGCGCCGATGCTGCCACCTGGCCCAGGAAGTGACAGCTACCACTGGCTCCACACAGAAGCCCACAACTGGGGGATGCCTTCCTGTTCTGGACTGACAAAACTGGGTTCTGGGGTCAAACAACTCACCTATGGGCATGGAGGGCCGGGGCCCTTTGGGATGGAGTCAGCACTTGGAGGCCACAGCAGCCCCTGACACTTCCGCCAGCACTGACTGGGGGAGGGCAGGAAGCCTGGCCCGCCCTGCCTGCCACCCAACCGTCACCTTCCCGCCCAGCACCCCTGGGACGTCCCCACAGCCACAGGGCTTAGCCACACAGGTCTCAGAGCTGAGGGAGCAGGCTGGGGGCCACATGAGACACTAACTAGGACAAGCGTGGCCACCCACAGAGCCTCTACCTTGGCCAATAGGCCAGCATGCCCATTCGGGGAAACCAAGGCTTTCAGACGGGTGAAGCCTCCCTCCTTAGAAAGGGAAACTCAAATATTCTTTACAACTACTTTAGGACCAGCAGATTACAGTTTGTTTTTAGACAAGGTCTCATGTAGCCTCAAATTTATTATGTAGCAGAGGATGACCTCAAATTTCTGATCTTCCTGCTTCCACTTCTGGGTGCTGGGGTGACAGGCATGAGTCACCTTGCACAGTTTTGATTTGTAAATATTAAATACTACAAGGTGTTCCTTAGCCCCACGTTCTTGGGGTGTGTTTGTTTTGCTTTTTTATCCCTGTAATTTGGAAAAAAGTTAAATTACCACCAGAGGCCCCTAAAAATATTTTGGCCTAAGAGTTTACCCAACGAAACCCAGGGCTTCTTGACCTCTGCAACACTAGAATGAGGCCCAGAGACCGACAGACACTTGCTCAGTGTCACACAGCACTCCACCACTCCCTGATACTAATTCTCCAAAACCTTGGGCCTAGGTGTATGAACAGTGCCTGGGTGTCAGGCTGGTGCTCTGGGTGACAGGTGTAGGCTGGCTGTGCCCACAGCACTTGGCCCCTTGCTGTGTGACACCCCCACACACAGTACTCCAGTACTCCATGGAGAGACTGAGACCCTTGTGCCAGCCTTCAACACACATACACACATTGAGCACCACCGTGTACCCCCAGTCCATGGGATGCTGATGACTCTGGCCAAATCCTTCAAAGACATCTCACTTTCTCATTGGCTGTGACCCCATTTAATGAGCACAATATCATAATTAATATCATAAGTAATATTTACAGCACGCCCTCACTCCCACAGTCACCTCTGATCTTCCCACAGGGTTTCGGCCCATTTCACAGAAGTCTCAGCCAGTCCAGTCTGAGTATACAGAATTGGGGGTGTCAGGCTTCCTGTCTAGGATCACCCCACTCCTGCAGGGGCAGGAATTAAATACCTCATCTCCCACCTGGAACCCCACCCAGGAACCGGCTGGTCCTGGCGTAGGTAGGTGATGGTATGTGGGTCAGGGTGTGACCCAGGCAGCCACACCAGTGGGACCAGGGTGACAAGAGTCCAGTCTTGATTGAGGGCGGGTCTTGACTGTGGGCGGTCAGTCTTATGGTCAGGTGGGAACTAGCCTGGCCTGGCCTTATGTCTCCTCTCCCAAGGCCAGACTGTACCCATCAATCAATATCATGGTTTGTTTTTGTTTATGCTTTTCTATGAGGCAGAGTCTGGCTATGTAGCCCAGGCTGGCCTCAAGCTGTAGACCTCATGGCCTCAGCCTCCCGAGGACTGAAATGACCAGACTCAACCCATTTTAAAGCGTGAAAAACTGAGCCTCTCCCAACCTTTGGCCCAAGACCGGGGTCACCATCTAGCAAAAATGGGGCACTAGGGTTGGGAATCTGAGACAGTCTGGCCTCTTCACCCTCTATTCCAAAGAGGAGGCAGAGGGTCAGAGAGGTGCTGTCACCTGCCCAAGGTCACCATGAAGCAGGTCCCGCGATGCAGCCGGCAAGCGGAGGGGCGGCCACGCTGCCACCTCCTCCGCACCCCATTCTAATTCTGTCCCTAGAAGCATATGCCAGCCACCCCCCTCACAGAGCGCGGGAGTGCCCGGTGCAGGCTCCAGGCCTCTCCAGGCCCAGCTTGCCTGGGAGGGGACCCCACGCTCCACACCCCACCGCCCCCGCCCTGCAGAGCCCCCACCTGCCCGTCAACCCCAGGGAGGTGCAATGAGAGGGAGAAAACCTCGGCTCACAGGCGAGGATGGGAGGGCTCACGGGCAGCGAAGGAGGCTACCTGCACCTTAGGGCCAGCGAGCTGCGGTCTAGAGACCCCAAAGGAGATTTGGGGGTCCTGAAGGGGTCCCCGCCTCCCAGCCCAGGGTTGAGGGATGCAGGGAAGCAACGCCCTGCCTTCTGCAGGCTGCACCTGCGCTCGGGTCTGGTCAGGGTGGCCGCTGCGCCCCCGCCCCGGCCCCGCGCCCGGGGACACTCACCGCCTCGCGCCGCGGCCACCTGCGCGCTCCGGACTCGCGTCCCGCCTTCCCAGCGCCCTGCAGAGCCCGCGGCGGGCCCGGCTTACGGGGTGTGGCCAGGAGAAGCTCCGCCCCGCGGCGCTTCACGAACCCTGCGCTGGTTGGCTGAACCGCGCCACTCACCCGCAGGCTATTTTGCATATTTTAAAGCGACAGGAGAAGCTTCTAGTTTCTGCACCTGTCAGTCCAGCGGAAACAAGGGAGGATAGAAGGAGCAGCATTTATTATCTACTGCGTGCATGGTTCATTGAAGAACCAAGCCCTCCGAAGCTGTGAGTGAGGTTATATAACAATATATTATGTAATATATAGTAATAATAATATTTTGAGCCTCATTTCACAAGAGCCCTGAAGAACAAAGAGGGCTAAAAGTTGCTTTGGAAGTCACACAGCAACTCTGGTCCATCTATTCATACTGCATATCATTCGTTTATTTACTCAGGCTGGGTGTGCTGGTGATGGAGCACGCTGCTCCAGCACTAAAGAGCCCTGTGTTCAGTCACCCCTATGACAACTTTGAGAAATTTGCAACTCCCTGGCCTGGGCTCCGTTTCAGCCTTCCATTCAGGGACACGTAGCCATGCATGGTGCTGGCCTGGAGTGCAGGAGCTGGTGCTCCGGCCTCCCAGGTCCTTCCGGCCCGTTTGTCCCCATAGCCTGCTGCATTCTCTACATGACTCAGTCATATCTCTGGCTATGAAGTCATGGAGATAGTTCACCAGTGTGAACCATAAGAAGGAACATTGTGATCGAGTGATCATGTGTGTGTGTGTGTGATTTATACACACATTTCAGTGGGTGACTTTACTGGCTGGTTGTGTGTCAACTAGACACAAGCTAGAGTCATCAGAGAGGAAGGAGCCTCAGTTGAGGAGATGCCTCCATGGGATAAAGCTGTAAAGCATTTTCTTTTATCTTTTCCTTCTTATTTATTTATTTATTTATTTATTTATTTATTTATTTATGGTTTTTCGAAACAGGCTTTCTCTGTGTAGTCCTGGCTGTCCTAGACTCTATTTGTAGACCAGGCTGGTCTTGAACTCACGGGGATCTGCCTGCCTGTGCTTCCCCGAGTCCTGGGATTAAAGGCTCATGCTTGACACCACACCCAGCTGTAAGGCATTTTCTTAATTATGATTGATGTGGGAGGCCCAGCCCACTGTGGGTGGGGCCATCCCTGGCTGGTGGTCCTGGGTTCTATAAGCAAGCAGGCTGAGCAAGCCATGGGAGAAAGTCAGCAAGCAGCGCCCTCCATGGCCTCTGCACCTGCCTCCTGGTTCCTGCCTGAGCCACCGGTCTGACTTCCTTTCACGGTGGTCATCACAATAAAATATTCTGCAACGGAGCCCTGAATGAGAACGGGTTTAGATGTGTGATGTTACACTGTATTCAGCAGTATGGCGGGAACCACTGACTACCGAGTACTTCCTGCCTTCAGAGGCTAGCCTGGGCTCCGTGTGGAGAACTGTGTGTTCAGAGGCGGCTTCTGGAGGCATCTGCTCTAGGATTTGGCCATCACTGGATGAGTCCACCAGTAACTCCCAGCTGGGCGGCTGTGGCATGATGGGCACACTAGGAGCCAGGGCTTCAACTGGAGATAAGGGTCACCCCAGCAACCCTTCCTGTGCTCTGGGAAGTGAGCAGCTTTGCAGGGGCTGGCAAACTATGACCCCAGTGACCCTGGCCTGGGGCAAGATGAAAGCCGGGCCCTGCCCAATCCCCGTGGAATAGCCGCCTCGGAGTGGCTGGTCCTGCAGGACTCTTCCAGCACTGCACGGCTTCCTTTTCTTTTGTTTTTTTGGGAATGCTTTTCGGTGTTTCTGCGCACTCTCAGCCGCTGTGCTCAACGAGCCGCGCCCACCCGCCAGCTTCCCTTCTGATTAGTCATTTATTCACCTTTAGCTCTTCCGTCGTCTCCAAAGCCTCCTGGGGACTCCGGCGAGGTACCCGGATGGACAGCCGGGGTGGGTTCTGTTCTTCCCGCCAGGCAGGGAACCCAGCAGGAATGCGGCACCTCACACAGGCGAGGTGTGAGAGCATTCCCACAGTCCACCCTCCTTGCAACCCTGGACCGAGGCGAGCTAGAGAGAGGAATCCGAGGACACAGGCTGCGGCTACGACACGGAGAGGCAACGCGGCGGCCTCGGGAACCGCAGGGGCCGGGGGGGGGGGAGGCGCAGTCCCCACCAGGCTCGGACCCCGCTAAGCGCGTGCACGTACACAGCTTCTGCAGCTGAATCTGGGGACCAGCAAGACAGGCGTCCTTCTGTCTCCGCCCACTTCCCTCAGTATTCGGAATACAAGAGCAGCTTTTTAACAGGGGTCTGGGAATCGAACTCGGGTTCTCAGGCTTGCAAGGCAATCGCTTCACTCACTGAACCATTCGCCGGCCCACAAATGCCGTTTTTTGTTTTGTTTTGTTTTTTAAGACAGTCTCATCAGGTGGCCCAGGCTGACCTCACCTGTCCACATGCTCCCGCCTCAGCCTCCCGGGCACTGTGAAGGCACTTGGCCCTACCCCTAGCTAAGACTTGGCTCCAACCCGGTCACTAGCCCCTCCCCTTCCAGCACTCCTCATGCCAGCCCCTCCCAGCACCCCTCCATGGCCCCCTTCTCCCCTCCCAGCAACCCTCAGTGCCCGCCCCCTCCTCGTCCGGACTCCCTGACCCCTGGGCTGTCAGCTTGGCCTTGCTCCCCCTGGCGTCCACCCCGGGTCCTGAGTGGCAGCTGGGGCGCCGCGAGTGTAGCGTTTCTAGTGCGGAATCCGCCAGAATGGGGCGGACCTCAGACAGCTGCGGAGGGAAGGGAGGTGCAAGAGGAAGAGAAAGGAATGGGCAGAGGGAGGGTGAAGGGTAAGGGGAGGGCGGACTGCAGTGAGGGAGGAAGGCACGCCCTGGCCTAGGATTGACAGCACACCGGCTGATCCCGCCTCTCTGTCTCCTTGGCTCCCAGGGTGGGCTTGGGCCCTGGCCAGGCCAAATGGCATCTCTCCAGAAGGCCTGGCCAGTTGCTGGAGCTGTGTCCATTGCCTGGTGCTGGGAGTGACCAGACAACGAGAGAAAATAGCCAGGTTCCTGGGAGGCTGAGGCAGGAGGATGGCTGGTTTGAGGTCAACAGTAGATAATACATCTAGTGAGTCCATGTCAGCAGAGAAGTCAGGGAGAGTGGGTCAGTGCTCAGCCACAAGCACCTCACCAGCGCACTAAGGTGACGAAGCTCTGGGTTTGGGAGTTTTTTCTTTTAATTTTGAGACAGGTGCTCTCCGTGAAGGCCTGTGGCCCTCCAGTGCACAGAGACCCACCTGCCTGGGTCTACAGAGCGCGTCCTGGGACAAGCAGTGCTACCGACTAAAAGTAAAAAAGCTGTGCTCACAGCCTTCTCCAGCTCTTGTCTTCTGAGGTGCTGCCAGGTGCGGCCCAGGCAGCGGTCTGGCTGATGGGCTCACACCTCAGTGGCAGCGGCTGCTTTACTTGCTCGTCCCGAGCTGGTGACATTACTTTGTAAGGTTCTACAGAAGCCCTGCTGGAGGTGGTGGGGATGGAGCCTTGGGGACAGGCATCTCTGCCCTTCCTGTCAGTCACATTTCTGGCCAGCCATGAACTCAGTTGCTCTGCCATGCCCAGAGCCTGAAAAACCCCGCCCCTCCTATCAATCTACTCTAATGCATTTGGCACTGGGCTTCAGGTGAGACTAGGTAGGGGGTGCTCGTGGCTCAATCTCAAGACTGCCTCACATGCAGAACCCATGTGGAGCTGGCCACTGGGAGGTAGAATCCTCATGGCAAGGATCATGAGGTCAAGGTCTGTGTGCTGACCTTGTCTAATGGCCTGCCCAAGCCGAAGGCTGCATTGGTGAGCTCACGGTGCTGGACACTGCGGTTGCAATTGACGGCTCTTATGGGGGCTCAGCAATGGCCAGTACTCCTGATCTGTGGCTCCTGATGCCCGTAGAAGTCAGTGGTCCCTGGGCTAGGGGACAGCCTGTGTTGCTAACACCCGGGCTGCTGCAACCCAGCCTGCAAGAATTCTCAGGCCATCTTGGCTGCAACGGGCAGCCCCAGAGCCTCAATCAGATAATACCTGCCAGCCACATGGAAGGAGATGCAGAGAAGCCGAGGGCTGGACAGTTAGTTTACGGGTGATTAGCACTGGCTATTGCTAGAGCGCACCACGTTGGCTCACCACCATCCCATGTGAGAGTCCAACGCCAGAGGGTGATGCCCTCTGCTGGCTCCGTGGGCACTGCAGGTATGTGGTGCACAGACATGTGTTCAGGCAAACATCAACACACAAAGTCTAGAAGATTTCCACCGAAGACCATGCGGTGGTGCGTTCCTGTCACACCAGGGCTCAAGGTATTAATGCAGGATTGCTGCAAGTTCACAGCCAGCCTAGGCAACTACCCACCGCCTCAAAAGGGCCAGAGACATGGCTCAACTGGTAGAGGTGCTCGAAACCAGCAACAGTGTGATCTTGGACCCACATGGTAGAGGGAGGGAAGCCATCCTTCCAAATTGTTCTCCGAGTACAACACATGGGAAAAAGAAAAAGTGACCCAGACCATAGCACCATCCTGTGGCTGAAGACTTTGGGAGGTAGCCAGGCTGTGTTGCCCTGGAAGGGGGTAAGGCTGCAGCGGACAGTGCATCAGGGGACAGTGGCTTAGCTCACTGCTGTGGCCTATGGGTGACCTCCCCTATGAACGCACTCCTGGGAGCCTCATGATGCCACCAGCCTTGTCCCCTACCTAGCACTCATTTGCAGAGCCCTCACTACATCCACCTGCTGGTGGCACCCAGTCATGCTTATGGCTACTTCAAAAAGGCTTGGTCTGGAGATGTGAGGCCAGAATGAAGGCTCTACAGAGTCAGTGCCTGTCTCACTGCCTGAGACCCGGGTGGCACTGACTACAAAGCCATGCCATCGGGCGTTCCAGCAAGCTCAAGGATGGCCACACCCCAGTGTCTTGGTTAGGCACCATTGCTGTGATGAAACCCCATGACCAAAAGCAAGTTGGGGAGGAAAGGGTTTATTCGGCTTACACTCTTACACTTCCACATCACTGTTCAGCAGTGAAGGAAGTCAGACAGGAACTCAAGCAGGGCAAGAACCTGGAGGCAGAAGCTAATTCAGAGGCCATGGAGGGTACTACTTACTGGCTTGCTCCTCATGGCTTGCTCTGCCTGCTTTCTTACAGAACCAGGACCATCAGCCCAGGACCCACCAGGGGCTGGGCTCTACCCAATCAATCACTAATTAAGAAATTGCAGAAGCTGGGCGTGGTGGTGCACACCTGTAATCCCAGCACTCTGGGAGGCTGAGGGCTGAGGCAGGCAAATTTCTGTGAGTTCGAGCACAGCCTGGTCTACAAAGTAAGTCCAGGACAGCCAGGGCTACACAGAGAAACCCTGTCCCAAATAAAAAACAAAAACAAAAAAAGAAAAGAAAAAGAAAAAGAAAAATTGCCTCACAGGCCTGTCTACAGCCTGATCCCTGATCGTATGGAGGCATTTTCCCACTGAGGTTCCCTCCTCTCAGATGACATTAACTTGTCTCAACTGGACATGAAACTGTCCAGTGTACCCCAGCCTTCATTCCTTACTAAATTCTCCCCAAGTGTGGTGGCTAAAGTCATTTGGGAAGAGGAAACATGAATTAAGAAAATGGCTCCAGCAAAGTGGCCTGGGAATATAAAAAAAATTACTGACAGGGCCTCTGCACCAGCTCCGCCTGCACTCCTGCCCTAAACTAACCCTTTCTCAAGCTGTTCATGGCCATGGCCTTCACACAACAGAAACCCTAAGACAGAACCCTAAGACAAAACCCCACCTGCCTGCTTTGATTTTTGTCATTTTTGAAACAAGGATTCACTGTGCAGGCCTGGGCTAGCCTGGAACCCGCAAGCATCCTTCTGCCTTTGCAATCTGAGTGCTTGGATGAAGAACGAGATAGCTGTGTCTGCCATGTGATGGGGCATTAGCAAGTGCACTCTTCTTTTCCACAGTGCTGGGGATGGGAGCTGGGGTGTCACACAGTGGCTTGTTCAAGCACAGCATCTGGCTTCCACAAGGAGCAGAGCCCTAACCAGGACAGTGAGGACCTGCTGCGGCTCGGGGCTAGAACTCCACCTTGCAGGCGGGAAAGGCCTCGTCCTGCATGGACACCATGCTGCCACTGCCCAGCACCCTGATGCCCAGCGCCTGGTGCTGCTCATGCGTCTCTTCATACCACCTGTGCATCACCGCAGAGTCGAAGGTGGGGATCAGTGTGACCTGGGGGGACAGCAGGCAAACAGATGACCCCTCTCTGATTAACTGGCACATGGCCCGGGGCTGGTCTGCCACTCCCTCCCACCTTTGGGTCTCCCACATGTCACTGTGGCAGGGCTGTATGTCACTGGGCTGCCAGAATATCCTGGCATGTGATGTACCTCAACCACAGTCCCTTGGCCTCCACACTCTGACCCCACACAGCTTTGGGGAGCACCTACCCCTTTGGTGACACTTCTCAGCTGCATGAACCCCAGCTGTTCCCCAGGGCTGCCTTGCAGGGGACAGGGCACCTAGGCCCCATGCCCTGCAGTCCTAGAATGAAGCAAGGCCTCAGAGTCCTGCACTCCACCCACCTGCAGGTCGAGGTCCCACTGCTGTTTGCCAGCCAACAGCGCATCCAGCAAGGCACGCAGGCCCTCCTCCTGGCGCTGGCCTTGCCCACTGATGACGTAGCAGAGTGCACGCACCCGCAGAAAGAAGTCCTGGTCCAGGTGGCCTGCACCACCACCAGGCAGGTAGGCCAGGTCCAGGTAGACAGGAGAGCCAGCAACAAGTGGTGCAGGGCGGGAACCGGGCCCTGTGGGGAAGGCACAGGTTGGTGGTGGCACCCTGTGACAGGTGGCTCTCACCTCCCACTAGGGACAGACAGCCCAGATCCCTGTGCCTTACACGCCCTGGGGCTTTGCCTACGTGGCTGAAGCCCCTGGGCCATGAGGTTGGCACTTGGAGAGCAAGCTGTGAGCGCCCGAGCACACACAACTGAGGGTGCTCACAAAAACTGCCTGTGGGGTAGGTGCCAAAGACCCAAAGCCCTGTCCCCACTCTTGGGTCACCAGCAGCCAGGGCAGCAGAGGAAACAGGTCCAAAGGAAGCAGGACAACAGCCACCCACAGCAGCCTCAGTGCCATGGGTACAAAATGACTGCAGGAGAATGGCAAATCCAGCCCTGCTCAGCCTCAGTACAGCCAATGAAAACTCTGGCTTACGACACATTGGCCCTGCTGAGGGCACTGGGAATCAATCCATCATGGAACTAAAGTCTACAGAGGTAGAGGGAAAGGGAGAAGGCAGAAAAATGTCACCACCACTGAAAGGCCCTTCTGAACCTGGGCCTCACTGGATATGTGTACGGCCTGAGAACCTACAAAGGCCATGCCTGTCCAGATCTGGCATAATCACCGCCGGTGCCATGGTTAGCTATATCCTATCCTCAGGTGTGGGCCTGACTCCAGCAGGGTCACTAGGTGCCACTCTGGGTAGAATAGAGCAATCAAGTCTCTCCCAGTCATTTACCAGCCCCCACCCCAATCTATAACCTACAGCAGTGCCTAAGGCCAGGGCCCTGCTGGGAACAGGCCCAGAGACTGGCCTCAGTGCCACCTAGCCTGGTGATCCAGAGGCACCCTCAGAACCCACATGTAAAGCCCAGGTGCTCCCCGATCAGATCAGCATTTGAGACTGGAGGCAAGGGATCACTTCCAGTTGTAAGCCAGTGAAAACCCTCTAGTCTGTCTCAGAAACAGTCTCTCTCTTGCTACACAGCCAAGGCTAGGCTCAAACTCATAAGATCTACCTGCCTCCACCTCCAGAATGCTGAGAATAAAGGGCTGCACCCCCCACAACCAGCAAAACCCTTTAAAAACACCGAAAAGTGCTAAGCTTAGCAGACAGCCCTAAGCTTAGCAGACAGTCTCGCTGGAAGGATCTGGCATGTGGCCATCTCAAAACATAAGACAAGATGCGGCTCAGGCAGGAGATGGCTGCTGAGGGCAAACTGCACACCGGGTCAGCAACTGGGGGGGGGGGGCTGTCAAGATGGGAGGTGTCTCTAATACCAGCATCTCAACTAGATGAGGACAAGCAGGGAAATCCATGCCCACCCAGGACCTGGCAAACTTCTAGAAAGCAGCACATCCAGACCCAGACCAAAAGGCCTCTCTGAAGGCATTAAGGCTGGGGCAGGGTTACAGCCTGTCCCGGCTCAGGTCGCACAAGAGCCACCAGCCAATCCCCTAAACTAGAACGAGGCCCAGAGGGAGCAGAGAGGCTACAGCCAGACAGCAGGAAAGTGGAGACTCACCGGAGATCCTCGTGGTAGAGGTCGTCTTGGGAATGGTCTTGGGGACTGAGGGCTTCCTGGTGAGGGGCACACGTCCTGGCTTGTCCGCGGGTTCACTGCGGGCGCTCTGCGGCCGGGCCCGGTCCCCTGCAGGGCCCTTGGTCTTGGCAGCCACGACTGTAGCTCTGGGGGCGGCAGAGGCAGAGCTCGGCCTTGCTGGGGCCTTGCGGCCACGGCTGGAATTGGAGGTGTTGGGAGGCTGCCGGGCACGGGGTGGCAGCGCCTCGGGGTCCACCATGCAGATGCCAGGCGCGTCAGGCAGTGGTGGTGGCACACGAGGTGTGGGCAGCGGGTCCCTGGCCACGCTCTCACTGCCTGCGTCGTCGTCGGAGTCTGCGACTGGCACAGGGTCAGAGTCAGAGAGTGTAGGCAGGGACTCGCTCACCGACGTGGGTGGCGTCTCGGGTGGCCGCTCCTGAGAACGCGCACTGCTGTCCGAGCTGCCGGGGGAAGCAGGAGGGAGTGGCTTGCGGTGCTCGAACTCACAGGGAGACACGAGGCACAGGTCCACATCGTGCGGGGAGGCGGAGCGCCGTGCTAGGCGCAAGGGAAGGCTGAGCCCCGCGTCGCCTGCAGGCAGCACCTGCTCAAAGGACACAGAGAGCGACTCATCCACCTCGGTAGAGTGGGGTGAGCCCAGCTCCGCGGGCAGAGAGGGCGTGGTCAGCGTAGGCGTTGTAGCAGTGGGCGTGGTAGCTGAGGGCGATGCATCAGGTGCCGGCTCCGGGTGCAGCGGGCTGAGAGACAGGCGCTCAGGGCTACTGCCAGGGGCGGTAGGCAGCGGGGACGGAGCTGTGGACAGGGTCAGGGACGGGGCAGGTGGCCGTTCAGGCTCCATGCTGTTTCCCACTTCTCCAGGGCACTCGGGCACAAGGGCTGTGGGTAGCCCTGTGGAAACCGGGGCACGAGGTCCGTTCTGTGAGGTGCGGGGCTTCGTGTTGGTGACAGCAGGCCCAGAGCGGCGCGTGTCGCGGACGGCAGGCCGCGCGGGCCCGGGTCTCGTCTCCTTCTTGGCGTCTCGCGTGCCCAGGGCGGGCTCCCTTCGCACTGCACTCCTGCTAGTGGCGCAGCCTACAGCGCTGCGGGCTGGCTCCTTGCGAGTGCTTTCCCGCGATGCCAAGCTGTCCTGGCTGTCGGCCCGCGCGGGGGCATCCAGATCCCGCGCAGTGACCACTGGGCGGCGCAGGCACGGCAGGTGCTGCAGCCGCTGCAGCCCGTCCAGCAGGCGCGCTGGCGGAGTGCGGCCGGGGAACAGCACGCGCACCACTTTGTCTCCAGGGGATGCCGGCTGCCACACGAGCAGGGCACAGGCGGGCGCCGCGGGATCTCCTGGCGGCGGGTGCAACACAAAGAGCTCTAGGCGGCCCACGCCCAGCTTCTCAAAGAGGACGGTGGGGCGTGCAGGCTGCGGGCCGCGCTGCAGGGGCAGCGGCGTGATGCCCAGGCTCCTCAGCAGGCCCCGCGCGCACACAGCCTCGTCCTCGCCCCCACGTAGCCGAGACCCCGCCTCACGTGCGTTCAGGAACACCACGCCCAGCGCTGGCGACAGCAGGCGACGCAGCCGCTCCTCATGCTGTCCCTGCGACCCCGACGCCGCCTCGCGCTCCGCCAGCTTGCGGCGCAGCAGGCTGTTGAGGCCGGGTAGGCTGTCGGCGCCCGCGTGGGTCACCAGCACGGCGTCTACGCGGTCCAGGTGGCGCACCAACTTCCAGAAGCTCGACTTGGGGTTGGAGCCGCCGTTCACCAGCACCGTAAAGCCATTGACGGCGAAGAAGGCGGCGTCACCCAGGCCGCCCGGGAACACATAGCAGCAGGGCCGCGCCAGGCGCAGGAAGCCGCCTGAGGCCGGCGGCTCCAGCAGCTCAAAGGGCGACGGTGGCTCCAGGGACTCAGCCACGTACTCCAGGAAGGCGCGCAGGCCCTCGGAGGCTGGCAGCCGTGCGGGCGGGTTCAGCCGCAGCCGCAGCCCGGGCGCGGGGCCCAGCAGTGCCCAGTCCCCGAAGGTCGGGCAGGACATGGTGAGGACCCCTGGGGCAGCGGACGCCAAGGCCAGCGCGTCCTGAACCTGTAGGGCCAGCACAGGACCACGTGGGACCAGAGGACTGGGTGCCATTCCCCCAAACACCCAACCCACAGCTGGGTACCCCAGGCCCACCCAGGTCTCCTAGGGAGTCATCCTGACCGCGACCCATTCTGTGTGCACATGCAAGCAAGCAAACACACACACACACACACACACACAATCACTGCACTGGGCAGTGATGAGCAGTATGGGGGCCCTCCTCTCACCCCAGTGCACAGGAAAGAACTGTGCTCACCTCTTTGTCCCCCAGCACCTGTAGGAAGTGATGGGCCGAGAACCCCCCAGTCTGCAGCAGCAGCTCCCCAGTCTCCTCCAGGCAGGGCCCTGCCAGCACCAGCAGTTTGTGAGGGGCGGGGTCCATCAGGAGGTTCCGGAGCTGAGAGGATGAGGTGAGCATCTTGTGAGCAGCACAGGGCCAGGCCCCAGCTCTGGTGCTGTGGAGGCAACTGAGAAGCACACCACAGCCCTCTGCTTCCCCACACCAGGGGACACCTGCCTGCGTAGCTCTACTCTTTAGCATGAGACTCCCTTCAGCAGAGACCCACTTAGCCTGTTCTTTTTCTTTCTTTTTATAGGCAGGGTTCCTCTATGAAAGCACAGAGACTCCTTCACCTCCTAACCCTGCTTCTGCCTCCTCCTGCTGAGACAACAAGCCTATGACAACATTCCCAGATCAACTTAGGGCATGCAGGGGGCAGGTCCAGAGCTGCCTGGCCCTCCACTGTCTTATCACTGGGAGAAAGGTGCAGACTGGCCAAAGCCAAGACTACTGGCCACCTAGGACAGCTCCCTGTCAGGCTGAAGGGCAGAGCTAGGACACAGCCTCAGTCAGGTTCCCACTGCCTCCAGCTAGACATAGAACACTCCCTTCCTCTAGGCTGCAGCCTTCCGGCCCCACCCCTACAAGAGGCAGGAAGCAGAGGTGGAAGTGTTAAGCACACAGCTGGGACAGGCCCCCAGGCACCTGTTCCTACCTCATCGCACAGGGACCTGTCAGAGGGGTTGAGCAGGACCAGCGTCTCCAGGGTCTCTCCTCGGTGGTGCAGGCTCCGCTGGCCTGTGGGATGACATGTTCAGGCCCTGATTCAGGATCAGGCTGCCTGATGCCAAATCCTGCCACCAGAGGACCCTGAGGGACTCAATCGTCAGGACCCACACAGGGGTACAAGCACCTGGTCTAGCTGTGAGCAAAGATGAGCGCAAAGAGAAATGCACTGGTACCCCAGGACCTCAAGCAGGGACAAGAGAAACAAACAGCTAGAGTTGCTAGGCTGGCAAAAGCTGGACCTGGGAGGCTCTGCACAGCAGGCAGCGGCTTTAGTCCCTCCCCTCAAAGCTGCTCCCCAGGGCTGAGCAAACCCAGCCAGAGAACATGACTGCCCAAGGGGCTCTCAGGAGGGGCTGTGCGCACAGAAGGTCACACTGTGTGGCATTTCCAGCTTCTCTCCACCCACCAGGATCAGGAAGCTACTGTGAGCCAAAGGGACAACTACACACTTCCTTCCCCTCCTGCAGCTTTAGTGATGACTCAATCGCTAGTCAGAAACCGAGGTACAAGCAATACCCATAAAGTGGCCAGTGGCTATTCTGGCTACCCTGGGATCCCCTGGGAAGCTTGCCCTGTACCCCATCTCTGCTACCCTATTGTCTGAGAGCAACCTGTAGGTTCTGGCCCTCAGGGAGGCCCCTCCCCTGCACGCTTCTGCAAACAGGGACAGTGAGCCCTGCCTCTACTGTCCTAAAGCCAAGGAAGCATCTGGTCAGGGGCTTCCACAGCGCCCCACCCCACGCCCAGTACATAGCTGTCACCCAGCAGCTCAGTCTCCAGTGAGTGGCAGGAGTACCAAGGGAGGCAGAGTGGGACAGGTCACCTTTCACAATGCTGGAGAAAGTGGCCGAGTGCCGGGACACAAAGGCCTTGAGCTGCTCATCCAGGCTGCACACGGCAGGGTCCACATCATCCCACGAGCGAACACCTTCAGGAAGCAGGAGACAGAGCTCAGCTTCAGCAACCCCCTTCTACCTTGAGAGGCACAGGGACTCGGGCAGGCCTCGACACTTCACTGGCCTGAGGCCTGACCAACAAGATGACCAGTCCCTGGTCCACATCCCCACTCTTCTGTTAGGATCCTGAAAGTCTGGGGGAATTTCTATGTGCACATTCGTAGCTAACCTTAGCTTTGCCATGGTTCTTTTCCCACCCTTTATCCCCCAGATTAACCCCCATCACTAGATAGAAGAGAAAGCATAGAGGGAAGAGAGATAAGGGATCTGTGAACCTAATTTCTTGTTTTGTTTTGTTTTGTTTTGAGCACAAACTACTAACAAACTACAACCAACCCCCTCACCCCCAGCAAGGTCCTAGTATTATATACCCTTTGGAAAACTCCCAGAGTTCCAAACATCACACAAATGCAGAAACTATCTGCAGCTGGCAAAACCACACTTCTGCTTGTGCAGGAGGCAAATCATAGTCAGCTGCTTCGAAGCAGCCCAACATCCCAGACCTGGAATTAAAAGGAAAACATGTCTAAAACTTTCTTTTGTTGTTGTTTTGTTTTTGTTTTTCCGAGACAGGGTTTCTCTGTGTAGTCTTGGCTGTCCTGGACTCACTTTGTAGACCACACTGTTCTTGAACTCACAGAGATCTGTCTGCCTCTGCCTCTCTGAGTGCTGGGATCAAAGGCCTGCACCACCACTACTCAGCTAATATTTCTGTTTTTTAAAGAAACCAAAATTAGAATTCTCATTGCACACAGGCATGCACACGTGTGTCCCTATGTGCATACAAGCAGAGACCAAAGGTCATACTCCGCGTCTTCCTTAACTGCTCTGCACCTTATGTTCCAAGGACAGAGCCCCTCACTGTCTTCAGGTCATCAGCTGGGTGAGGCTGGCTGCCAGTGAGCACCCAGGAGAGCCCTGCTTGGCCTCCAGAGCTAGAGTTGCAGGCACATACTGCCAACCCCAGCTTTGATGGGAGTCAAAGGCTCTCAGCACCTTCCCTCCTCGGCCACCAGAGTGCACAGGAATCCTCCTGCCTCCATCTCCAAAGGGGAGATGACAAGTGTGCACACACCTGACTGTCTTGGGCTATTCCCACCTGAGAAGCACCCCTTTGCACCTTTCCCAGTGAGCAGGGTCCCCAGCCCCCAGCCTCTAAGACAAGCTTTTCTCTGAAGCAGTGGTTTTCAATCTTCCTAATGCTGCAAACCTTTAACACAGTTCCACATGTTGGTGACCCCCAAACCATAAAATTATTTTATAAAATAATATTACGAAATTGTAACTGTGATTTTGCTGTTGCAAACTGTAAATCTGATATGGGAACCCTGTGGAAGCATTGTGACTAACAGGTTGAGAAGCACTCCTCTGGACCTTTGGTATCCTGGAGCCCCCTGACACCAGGGAAGTCTAGTTTACTTTGCATTCTCCTCCCCAGCACATCACCATTACTCAGAAGGCGAGAGGGCCTTGCCTGTCATTCAGCTCAGTCTGTGTGCTGAGCCTGTCACACTTAGGCTCAGTGACACTCTTCAGTCCATGGGCATCCTATGTTCTTCTGAAGGTTTTGTGTATTTATTTACTCAATTTGTAGTTCAGGCTGGGCTCATGTGCCACTTACCATGCCTCCATCTTTGAGCTGCTGAGAGGACAAATGAAGGCTAGGGATGAGGCCCAAAGTTGACATGCCAGGCAACACTCTACCGACTGAACCCCTGAAGTTATTTTTGAGAAGCCTATCTTGTAGCCCAGTCTGGCCTGGAACTTACAGGGCTCCTCCGGCCTCAGCTCCCGACTGCAGGGATGCCCACGAATGCACTGCATTCGCTGCCCAGTTGCAGGCGATGGAGCCCCGCCCGATACCCCAAAGTGGCAGGTGCGGCAGAGTCAGCTCCCTTCGTGCCAAACATCCCCGGGGCGTTCGCTCCACCCACGCGCCAATTAGCAGCAGGGGAAAACAGGCCCCGGGGCGCCGCAGGAACCCGGGAGCCCGGCGAGGGGCGGGGCCGGAGGAAGGCCGCACCACGCCGGAATCCCGAAGCTGGGGCTTCAGCGCCCCCTCGAGCCTCAGGCCGCTCCCCAAACCCAGTACCCCCAGAATCCGACAACCCATCTGCCATGCCCCACGCGGAGCCCAGCCCACCGCGCTCCACCCGGACCCCGTGACCCACGCCTCTGCGTTTTGTTCAGGCGTACAGGAGGCACGTGCGGACCCCTAGGCTTGCTAGGACCACAGGCCGCGCCCGGAACGTTGTGTCCGGGAACCCCGTACCCCACCCGGACCCCGGCCCACCGCGCGCCGGAATCCCCAGCCCCGGATGCCCCGCCCCGCCTCTCTCGCCCTTCGACCTTCGCGGGACTAACCTCGTTCCAACTCCTTCAGGACGTAGGCCAGCAGCCCTGGACAGCCGCACTCGCCCACTACCAGCAGCAGCAGCGAACTCGGCGCTTCCACAGCCTCGGGCGCCGCCATCACCGCCGCCATCTTCGTGCCGCCCAGACGCTTGAGCGTCCCGCCCCCTCTGGCCCCGCCCCTTCAAGAAGCGTACCGGAAGCACCGGAGACCCCGGCCGGAAGCGCCCCCTCCTCTGAACCCTGTCAACGCCCTATGGGCTTTGGGAGAGTATAGAGGGCTAAGACTGGCCCCATAGTGAGGCTATGTTATCACTCCCAAAATTTCGTTCATTATTCATTCACTCATTCATTCAGTTATTAATTCACTCATTCATCCACTCAGGCGATAAAGAATTTCTGCCCCCCCCAAAAAAAAACTCATGCCAACACAGTGGTTCAACACAGAACCTACAAGCTTCCTAAATTCCAACAGAGGGAGGACTTTGAGGGATTTGTGGCAGTTTTCTTATTGTGCATGATGGTCCAGATCAAGGGAGACAGACGTTTCAGTATTTACAGTATTTGGGGCAGGTGGGCAGTGTTCCGGTCATTTTGGAGGGGTGAAGTCATCAGGTCTGTTTAAGTGTCAGCCCATCTGACAACAAGCAAGTTTGCCTCTGTTATGCCAGATCTCAAGGTCCGCAAAGACCACCAGGAGCCAGACCACATATGCAAGAGCAAAGAGTTTTATTCAGGCTTAAGTTTTGTCTCTCCATTGTCACCAGAGAGGAAAGCCCTGAGCAGCTACACAGCAGGGTTTTTATTGGAATTTCCAGCTTAGCAGTTACACGATTGGGTATGTAAGATTGGTGACATTCAGCAAGGGAAAGCTTGTTAAAAAGTGATTGTCTAACTAATATAACTAACATTTAGTGAGCTATCTATCGACTCCAGGAGGGTCAGTGGGCGCCCAGCACAGATGCCCCACCCTGAGATAAGATACCTTCCCATTCTTGGGGTTACCTCCAGGCTAGTCTTTGGTAGGGAATTTTATGGTTTTCTTATTCCTAGAATTGGTGACCTATGGACTAGTTCCTGGGACTAATGACTTTTGGGGGAGGAAGTCAGGCTTGGTCCTTTCACTTCTAGACAGCCATAGTACTTCTTAGAGCTAGTGACCCTCCTACCTCCACTGCTTCCCACACACTGGGACAGCAGTCAGCTTGGGATTCACTTGGGCTGTGGTTTGATGGAGATTGCTTATGCAGCTCCCAACCAGACCTTCTGGAACAGTCTCACTCCAATCTTAGATCTTCTATGGTCATTCCATGTTAAGTATTTGAAATGCTGTTCATCCCAAGAAGGACCAGCTGCCTCCCCTCAGCAGTGAGCTCCCTGTCTCAGGAGTAAACAACTAAACTAAGACCAACCAGGAGCTTCAACACTCTGAAGGAGGCTAAGGCAGAAGGATCAGAAGCTCACAGTCAGCTTCCATTACCTAGCAAATACGAGGCCAGCCTGGACTACATCAGACCATGTATCAAAACAAACAATCTAAAAAGACAAAGAAGCATGTTTTAATCTCAGCCCTCTAGTGGCAGGAGAATATCTGCCAGTTCCAGGCCAACACTGGTCTGCACAGTGAACTTCAGGAGAGCCAGGGCTACGCAGACTGTTCCTAAACAAACAAAAAATAAGCAAAAGGCAAATCAGGACTGATGTGAAGCATCAGGAAGCAGAATCAGGGCCCCTGCTGATTGATGTTCTGTCCGGGACTTGTCCAAGCCAACTTCCTCTTCATCAGTGTAGCAACAGTCTGAGGTTCCTGGATACCAATTTCCCTGGGGTTTGTTTGTTTGTTTGTTTGTTTGTTTTGGCACCAGAATCCTCCCGAATCCTGTCTCCTCCCCCTTGGCTGTTCAGCCTGCACAAGCTGGCTGCCTGTGATTTCCTCTATTATAACGGAAGCTGCACTTGACCCATTCTCGGCCTTCTGGCTAAGATCAAGTGCAGAATGGGCATGGTGGCTCATCACAGAAGGCTGAGGAAGGATGACTGTGGAGAGTCTGAGGCCACCCCGGTAGCCTGAGAACAGCCTGGGTGCTCCCTTAAGGCTCACACAAGGCACTGCAGGCTCAGCTCTTAAATGTTCTGAACTGCTCTTGCAGAGGACCCAAGTTCCATTCCCAGCACCCACAGCGCAGGTCCACACTGCCTGGAGCACCCGATCCCAGGTATGTGCTGCCCCCTCTGGCCTCCACAGATGCATTCCTGTGCACACAAACACTAAGAAATCTTTAAAAACTAAAAGTGACACGCGTGTTGTGTGTCATCCCAGCACATGGTGAGCAGAGAGGGGCAAGCAGGTCTCTGTATAGGGTCAGCCTATCTGCCAGCCAGGGCCACATAGTGAGAGCCTACCAAACCAGCAGAGAGCTGGAGCTGTGCAGCAGATGCTAGAGAGGCGTGCAGAACCGACTCGGCAGCCTATTCACCAGTCCTGCTCTCTTTCATTTGCTCTGTCTTCTCAGGTACGCTCACAGAGTCCCTCGGATTTGAACCCAGTTTCCTCAGCTGAAGTCTGAGCTCTACTAGCTGCCTAAGGCTCTTCTGTTTTCCTTTCCCATTTCCTGCTGTATTCCACAGTGGCCTCAAACTGACAATTCTCCTGCCTCGGATCTCGTCTTTGGAAATGACAGGCCTGCACCATCACACCTGTAGTGAGTGTGGATGTTATGATCTAGTCCCTGAGGTCCGGAGCAGCTAAGAACGTCTCTGCCGTGAGTCAGCTGGGGAGAGGTTCCCCATTAGGCTGTACGGGCCAGTAGTTCGAGTGTTCTGCAAGATGCTCAAAACTAAAGTGCCCATGAGTTTTTCTGCTGGGAGCCCAGGAGTAGGAAATGCAAGGCTCCCCGAGAGAAGAGGAATCAGTGGTCAGTTCCAAAATATCAGACTTGGGGCTCAGGTCATGTCCCTCACCTCTGTCCACACCTAGATCCAGCCAGCGGATCGATCAGCTGTCTGGTCCCCATGGAGATGGGGAGGGTGATGGAGGAAGCTGTTACCCTCCGTGCAGCCATGCTGTCTGCAATTCTCCGAAGCAGTTTAGCCAGACATCCCTCTCCAGTGCTCCGACAGGTCTCAGCCTCCACAGGACCTGCTAGCCCTACCCACATGCCAGCCCCTCCCAGGGGATTCTCGGCTGTCGCTCTACTCCTGAGCCACTCCCACAGCCCGTCCCGAGAGCGCAGCTGTAAACCAGGCTCCCATCTCCATCTCCCAAAGATGGGCTGGCAGATGTGGGACACCACGCTCAGCACTGCTGAGCTTTGTGAGCAATTGCCATCGCTCTGACGGCGACCACAGCTTTCTCCACTCCCTCCAACAGCTCTGGAGTCCCCACACCTCACGCTACGCTTTTCCAGTCTCAAGCCACAAGCAGCCTCGGTCACCCCCTGCCGTCCGGTGCGGGAATCGCTCACATCCTCCTCGGAGCTCAAGGCCACGCCCCCTCCAATGCGCGCATCTCAGTAACAGCCCCGAGTCTTCTTTCTCCCTCCTCCCCACCCCCTTTATTTTTACTCCGTCATTGACTGTGATGGTCGATTGGCTGCTTTTGATCGGTCGCACTCCTCCAGGGTTTGTGTTCAGGTCCAGATAGAGTTATGTGATGTGAGCAAGTTACATACAAATGGCCATTAGGGACAGTCAACAGGACTCAGTAGTTTTGTTTGGTTTCGGTTTTAGTGGGGGGTTCGAGACAGAGGCTCTCTACATAGCCCATTGCACTCTGTAGAGATCCGACTGCCTCTAACTCCTAGTGCTAGGACTAAGTCACTCCCACCCAGCTTTATTTAGTTAGGATTTTTTTTTTTTTTTTTTTTTTTTTTTTTTGAGACAGGGTTTCTCTGTGTAACTCTGGCGGGCCTAGAATTCAATCTGTAGACCAGGCTGGCTTCGAATTCAGAGATCCACCTGCTTCTGACTCCCAAGTGCTGGGATTAAAGGGGTGCACCACCACTGCCTGGCCTATTTAGGAATTTTTTGACAAGAGTAAACTCTATGACATCTCATTGTCTGTGGAGGCCTTTTCAGAACCTTGATCTAAACTGAAAACATAGGACATGAATTGTGGCTTGTTATCCAGGCCTTCCTCATATTGCAATTCATTCTCTTGAGTGGCTGGGTTACCACGCTGGGTAAAACAGACATGGGTGCGCGCATGCGCACATGAGACAGCATGTTTGTGGCAGCACAACTATTAGAATTAAGCGCTGTTCTTCCACCACTATTGGACCAGTAGTTCAATTCAGGTCCTCAGGTTTGGCGAACCATCTTACTGCCTTCTCTTCTATTTTTGTTTTTATCTTGTTTTGTTTTGTTTTTGAGGCCATGGTTCATGTAGCTCAAGGGCTGGCCTTGAACTCACGATCTCTCTGGCCTCAGCTTTGGTAATGTTGGGGTGACAAGGGAGTCCCACCACATCCCTCTCTCCTTGCTGGATAATGGTGATGAGACAATTGGGCATGGAGAGGTGAAAGCTGACAGAGGAGGTGGGGCTACAGAGGAGCCCGGGACAGCAGCAACCCTGCATGCACAGATCCATACGGAGGTCCCTGAGCCAGGGGGACTAAGGCTCGGGCTTCAGAATTAGTAGGAATCTAACTGACAAATGGTAAAGGTTGAAGAAAACAGGAATGTCGTGACACCCAGGAGTGCCGTGAACCCCAAGAGTCATCAACTCTATGACCCTGTGAACACCGTGAGCCCAGCCAGGCTTCATTGAAAAAAAAAGAACATTTCCAGGAGCAGGGTTTACTGCATCACCAGCAAGGGTGGATGGCGGGGCACAGATGTGGCTCAAGTGAAGCAATAAGTTTGGCAAATGGTTCTTCCATCTCCTTACACCAGGCACACAGGCAAGGAACACCTGTACACAGAAAACTTTAAAACTTTAAAGTCCCTGAATAAGCTGCCCACGGGGCACAAGCCTTTAATAGGAGAGCCAGGGAGGCAGGGGCAGGCAGATCTCTGAGCTTGAAGCCAGCCTGGTCCACAGAGGAAGGCAGAATAATAAAATTGCATAACCAATTAAAAGTGTCATCTGTGACGGTGTGTGGTGGCACATGGCTGTCGTCTAGCCCTGGGAGAT